ATGAAAGCCATCTTGAAGGACTATTTTATACCACAAACTGAAGAAGAGGACCCAGTCCTAATTGGGCTGTTGGTGGAATGGTGGACACTGTTACTGAACTGCTGGTAATATTGCAGATGGTGGATAAAACTTGGGGACACTATTTGGCACTATCTAGCTGTTATTACTGCATTTCCTGAAGCCCCACACTTAATCACAGAGTCATCTATGATAGCAGAACTTGGGGTCAGATGTTGGTCTGTGGAGGCTGTTTACTTAATGATGGCTTATCACCATGATGGATTATTACATAGCTGTGAAAATGTGATTATCTAGATACTGTAGGTACTTGAAAATGTTTTACCATCCAATTAGTGTCAAGAGGAACCGACTGCACAGTGTCCTCAGTTCTAGTATAAACCAGGTCGGAGGCCAGAAGCAAATATGCAGAAACATGAGTAGGTTTATGTAAGTGATGGGATTGTGGGTAATTTCTGGATTTCATGTTGATAAGCATTGTTTTAGTGAACCTTCTCAATTGGAATAATGTGCTTAACAGAAAAGGTTCGGGGCTAGTGAAGCTTCTCTAAACCACTTAGTTTTTCCTGTAAAATTAAAACATTCCAAAGATGATTTAAAGATGTATTTAAGATGTAAAAAATTTTAAATTGTGTGTATGTCTGTGTGGTGGTGTATACACGTTGAGAGGTCAGAAGAGGGTCAGAGCTCCTGGAGCTGCAGTTACAGGAGGTGGCAAGCCTTCTAATGTGGATGCTCTGCACCCCACCCTGTGCTGTCGGATACTCAGCCCAGACCCCGTTCTTTATGTAAAAATTAACGAGACCATCCTTCTCATTAGTGTGCAGTTCGCTTTCATTTTTGACAAAAAGTGATAAAATTACCTGTAGTAAGAATTTTTAAAGTAAGTTTTTGATCAGTATGTTTGATTTGTATACCTATTTTATATCTGTATATACCCAGAATCATGTAAAAATTTCTTGAGCAAAAAAGGGTTGCAGGTGGAGAAAGTTGGAGAAGGTTTTAGAGGAATGGCAGACCTGGGTTTGATGACAGTGGTGTGTACAGGCCAGTGCTTAGTCACTTCTTGTTGGGCTTCTGGGTTTTTCCCCCCACTGAAATGGTACTGTAGGAAAGCCTACTGTGTGTCTTTCATACACTTGTGACTTTTATAGGATGCTTCTCAAGAGAGTTTGCTGGACCAGAGCGTTTGTAGACTTCTATATTGTGATTACAAAGATCTTTTCCAATTTTCTCGAGTGTATTAAGTTTTGCCACCAAATTTTCAAGAGTTATCCCCTTAGCTTAAAAAGCAGACAGACAACACCTGACCATTGTTAAGGGTAAAGGTTTCAGGAGAGTGGGAATGCTTAACTACACAAGCCAGAGAGACAGCCAGATTGGTGGTGCACACCTTTACACCGTGATCCCATAATCCCAGTACTTGGGAGGCTGAAGCAGGAGGATCCTGAGGTCAGTCTGGGTTGCATAGGGAGATACTGCCTTAGAACACACTCCAAACCATCAGGTCATGGTGGCTCACACCTATAATCCAAGTATTTATGAGACTGAGGCAGGAGGATTACTGTGAGTTTCAGGCCAGGCTAGGGATAAGAAACCCTCTTTCAAAACCCAAAGCCACCCCACCAACCAATCAAACAAGCAAAAACAATCAGTAAAACTCCAAACAAGCAGTGGGAGTCTTGTATAGTTGTTTGGTTTTATAGCATGACTAGAAGCTTCATGCTTGCCTGGTTTTCCAGAAGCCAGTGATCTGAGCACTTCCAAGATATACAGAATGGCTGGTGGCTAAGAGAACGGGCCCCAGGCTCGGGCCCCGGGCAACTTCTCCTCTGCTTGGCTGGGCAAAGTGTTGTGCAGCCCAAATGGCTTCTAGAGGTAGGTTGTAAGGGTTGCACCTCTCTCAAAACACTCTGACCAATACCAACTTGGGAAGGAAAGGGTTTATTTGGCTTACATCTCTTGGGTCACAATTCATCAGGGAGCCCAAGCTAGGAGCCTGGAGGCAAGAGCTGGAGCACAGGCCATGGAGGAACGTTGTTTACTGACTTCCTCCCTTGGCCCATGCTCAGCCTGGTTTCTTATACAGCCGTGTGTGTGTGTGTGTGACTGCCCATAGTGGGCTGTGTCCTCCCACGTCACTCAATAATCAAGAAGATACCCCACTGACATGGCCACAGGCCAGTCCAATGGAGGATATTCCCCACTTGAGGCTCCTACCCAGGTGTGTCAAGTTGACACTAAAGCTATTCAGTGCACCCTTTTTTCACAGAAGACCTTTTCCTAGTTGACAGACTTTGTCTTCTTGCCCCTTGATCAGGTATCTATATGAGCACTTGTCACTGCAAAAGGCTGGGACCTTGTGTCTAGTCAGGTGACAGTCTAAGGACTTTTCTATTCTGAAAACACTCAGGCTTTGCATTCTGTTCTATGGTGTGTGTTTTGGAATAAAAAAATTAAATGTCAGGCTGGGCATGGTGGTGCACACACCTTTAATCCCAGCACTCAAGAGGCAGAGGCAGGCGGATCTCTGTGAGTTCAAGGCCAGCCTGGTCTACATAATGAGTTCCAGGACAGCTGGGGCTACAGGGAGACCCTGTCTCAAAAAGACCAAAAAAAATTCAATGTCTTGCTAGAGTTTTTTGGTCTGTCTGTTGCCATGCATGTCAACGCACCGGTTTGGGAGAACGGTAAAGCCATAGCCATCCTCTCAAAACTTACAATTCCTATGGGTTTGTTTTGTGGCTTTGCTCAGACTTTGCTCATGCCAGGGTTGCACAGACTCCTGCAGGGCAAGCTTAATCGTGTTCTGACCATCCTGCTGTTGTCTAAGTAGAATCAGTGAGGTTGCAGGAAAAGTGACTGAACCTTCCTCTCCCTTGTGGTCTTGTTGCAGGACGAGAGGGCAGTGAGAGATCGGAACCTCCTCCAAGTTCAAGACCATGACCAGCCTATTCCTTGGAAGGTGCAGTTTAACCTGGGCAACAGCAGCCGTCCCAGCAACCAGTGCCGGAACTCCATCCAAGGGAAACACCTCATCACGGATGAGCTGGGTACGGCCTTTCTTCCCTGCACTCGTGATGCCTGGCAAGGTCATGCCAAGACTCTGGGCTTGATAGGCATCCTCCACAATATGTGTGGCCTTCTTCCTGGTCTCCAGGAATACTTGTGTCTGTCTTCCATACCTTCCTCGCCATTCCAGGCTTCCTTCAACACAGGAAGCTTGGCTGAGGACCCTGACTCCTAATAGTTCCTTTTTGCCTGCAGCTCAGTGCTCAGCTTTTGTTATTTTATCATTGTGTGTGCGTGCCTGTGTGCATGCGTGCATGCGTGTGTGTGTGTGTGTCAGTCATCAGCTTTTGTTGTTTATTGTGTGTGCCTACGTGTGTGCCTGCGTGTGTGTGTGTGTACGTGTGCGTGTGTGTGCGTGTGTGTGCACGTGTGTGTTAGGTCTCAGGTTCACCGCTGCATACCCCAGGCTAGCTGTCCCATGAACTTCTGGGCATTCCCTGTCTCTGCCTCCCATCACATCCAGCTTTATTTGGGTTCTTGGGATCTGAACTGTGTCCTCACGCTTGTGTAGCCATCACTTTTACCCACTGAACCATCTCCCCAGCCCTGGTCTTTGTTTTTTGTTTTTGAGACATAGATTCCACTCTTTGACCTCAAACTCACAGCAATCCTCCTGCCTCAGTGTCACACCCAAGTACTAGGCTTTGAGGAGTGAGTCCCGTGACTGGGTGGATTTTCTGATCTTAACAGTCTTTGCTTCTCATCTTGGTGTTGAGCTCTGTAGGGAAGAGCTGCGTTTTCCTCCCTGGCAACTTTTACGTAAGCCCACAGTGTTGACAGGCAGGAATGTGCTTGCTACAGATATTATCCAGGGAATTTAGGACATCTCTAGAGCATGTTCCTCCTACAGGGAAAATCATTTCCTTTAAGCCGTAAGAAAAGAGATTCTGGCCCAGGCGAACTTTTAGGCTACCCACCTGCTAGCGCTCCAACTCTTGGTCTCACCCCTGTCTGTACTTAACCTATGCTAGAACAGCTCCTCTTGTGTGCTGGGTATGGGCTACAGGATTCATTAAAGACCTCATTTGAGCTGGCCTCTAAATCACAGAGATGCGCCTGCCTCTGCCTCCTGAATGCGGAATTAAAGGCACACGCTACCATGCCCAGCACCTCATTTGAGTTTTGCAACAAACCCATGAGAATAGATACTGCAAGCCATGTTTTACAGGTGGAGAGAGAGGCACCAAGAAGTTAAGGAACTTGCCTAAGACTGTGGAGGACTCTTGTTCAAAGTGAAAACACAGCCTGTCATCATCAAAGGCCACAGTTTCTCCTTAATGTCTAATATTCAGACAGTGCTGAAAATTCCTGATTGGCTTATTGAGTTTTTTTTCTACTTTCGATGAGTGGTTCACAAAGTAAATTTTCCCCTATTTCAAAGTCTTATACAACAAATAGCTTGTGAATGGCCGTCTTGGAGCTGCTCCAGGTAAACTTGCATTTGCATCATCTATACCTACAAACTCCCTGCTCAGTGAAGCCACATGTGTCTTTAAAATGATGACAGCAGTTGTATTTGCTTTAAAAGAGAAAAAGTTTGCACCCCCTGCACAATGAAGAGCAAAGCTTCCTGGAAAAGAAGCTGAATGGATGCTCTCCTGTGCAGCACACGTCTGTAGTCCCAGCTCTTGGGAGCCTGAGGCAGAGGGTTGAGAGGTCAAGGCCAGCTTGGGCCATTTAGGAAGCTTGTGGGGTAGGGGGAGATACTGAGATCTCTAAATATCAAACCAGGAATAAAATTATTTAGAAATAAAGAAAGGAGGGGCTGGAGAGATGGCTTAGTGGTTAAGAGCACTGACTGCTCTTGCAGAGGACCCCATTTAGTTCCCAGCACCCACATGGTGGCTAGCAACCATCCATAACTCCAGTTCCAGGGGATCTGATGCCCCCTCTGCAGCCATTGCACATGGGTACACTTATATACATGCACTCATACACATAAAATAAGTAAATTAAATTTTAAAAGAAATGAAGGAAGGAGAGGAAGCCTGGCACCCAGAGGGGAAGAGCTGGGAGACCACACAAAAGTGCACGCAGCAGGGATGCCAGTCAGAGCCGAGTTTCAGGTCATGCTGGGAAAGCAGGTCATGCTGTAAATTTCCTTTAAAAGAACTTTAACATTTATTAATTTGTGTGGATGTGCACGCACTGTGTGTGTGTGTGTGTGTGTGTGAGAGAGAGGGGGGGGGAGGGAGGGAGGGAGAGAGAGAGAGAGAGAGACAGTGCATGTGAAGGTCATACGACAACTTTCAGGAGTTATTTCTCTTCTACTAGGTGGGTCTGAGGGATGTCAAACTCAGATCAGGGTTGGCAGCAAGCACTATTACCCACTGAGCCACCTTGCCTGCCTGTAAATACCTTAAACACCAGTAACAAAGAGATGCAGTTAGCTAAGGGCTAGACTGAATGCTTTGATTTAGAGTCCAGGACTTGTTTCCAGATTCAAAAAACAGGAAATCTTAGCATCATGTGGGCACAATTTATCATTTTCTTTTACCATAGCTACCAAAATAGTAATTTCTTCTGAGCAATTTCGGACTCACAGACTCTAGTTAAAAAATTCCAACAATCATCTTAAATCCATAAAAATCCAAGAGCCATGGGTTGTATTTTACCTCCATGGACATGGGAAAAGTAGCTTAATAGAGAAAACTTGTACCTGTTTATGCTGTTTAACAATGAGATCCCACTGTGAATGTTGCTGGGGTAACATAATTAAACATGACAGTCAGTCACTAACTTTTCAAAGGCTGGAAGTTAATTTCCCAGGCAAGAGCAAGGGTTTGCAGACTGTGATCTCACAAGACTCGGTAGAAGCCTTTGCCTAACTGACAAATAGCACAGTTTTATACATTTATTGAAACATATTACCCCATTCCCATGTACAGTTCTTGTGTTTCTACTTATTAGCTAAAAGTAGAAGGGACTGGAGAGATGGCTCAGTAGTTAAGAGCACTGGCTGCTCTTGCTGAGGACCTGGATTCCGTTCCCAGCACCCATATGACAGTTTATAACTGTCTGTAACTCCAGTTCCAGGGGATCTGACACCCTCTTCTGGTCTTCATGGGTACCTGCATTCACATATGTGCACATGCGGCGCGCGCACACGCACACACACACACACACACACACACACACTTAAACCTTTAAAATATAAAAAATGAATAACCTTTGCATAGGTGGATTCATGATTATGAGGAGCCTGGGTGAGCGTGCTCTCCCCAGAAGTTAGACCTACTAATTCAGGGATGAGGACTGAAGGCTGAAAGTTTACAGCGGGAGGAAAAGAGCCTGAGATGTTAACTCGTAACCTGGGACAGGAAGAGCAGACAGATAATATCAGCAAGTAGAGTGTAGGCTGCTTGGTAGTGTGCATCTCTCTCATAAGAGTTGCCGTGTCCTTATTTGGGGAGAATCCTCAGAAGAGTGCTGACTACCTTGGAATTTTGTTTAGAATCCCTGCAAATAGGCTGGAGAGATGGCTCAGAGTTAAGAGCACTGGTTGCTCTTGCAGAGGACCCAGGTTAGCAACCATCCGCAACTTCAGTTCCAGGGGATCCAACGCCTCTTCTGACCTCCTCGGGCATTGCACAAAGCAGGTGCATTTACACACATGCAGGCAATACACTCATACACATAAAATAAAAATAATAAAATATTTTTGAAAAGGAATCCCTGTAAACAGCATGTGTGGGAGTGGTTGGGGAGAGCCCCTGAAGCTTTTCCTAGGACAGCAGGATGATTTTCTCTTCATTCAGCAAGTAACAGCATAAACAGTAAACAGAGGCAGCTCCCAAGTGACTGGGGAAGTCTCCCAAGTTTTGAGTGAGGGCCCATTGTCACCTTCCACCAGTGCCTTCTACTTCTCCAGACTTGATTTTCCAGGGCAGTTTTGAAAACAAGCAGATCTCTGCCATGCCTCATTCTCTGAAGATGGAGCTGGGCATTCCAGATGGGTTGTGCTTGGAACAGCTCCTGTGCACCTGAGGGTCCATGAATGCACCTGCAGGCCCATGCATGGACCTGAGGGGCTGAATGTGCCCCTGGAGCTTCTCTAGTGTGATGGTGGCTCTTATGGACTGGAGCTTACATTTTTCTGTCCTACTACTAGAAGGCTGCGGGGAAATGCCTGCTTAGCAACTCTGAACAATGAATTAGTTCTAAAAGGAAATTGATCTCTAATACTGAACACAAAGTGACTGGGCTGTAGGGAAGTGCATAGCCACACGATGGGATTTCTAAGTTGTATAGAAATTGGGAGATTTTTCTCTTCTTTGAGTATTGGAGACCTTTGTTCCCTAATTCCTGCGTAGTTATACTCCTGGAATGTTTATGCACAAACACCCTAAAGTAGATATAATAAAGGTAAACTGTGGCTTCCTATTTTAACAGTCCTTTGAATTACTAGGTTAGCAGCAGACATCTAAAAATTGCTCAAAGTGATTTGCTTGCTTTTTAAATTTGGAAAGATTTCATTTTTGTGAACAGGTGTGTGGTTTTTCCTGTCTCTATCTTGTATTTTTTTTTTGAAAGAGGCCCAAATGAAAGATGGGCTTGCAGGAAGGAAGCAAGGTCATGGCTTGACCTGGTGATGAGTTCAGATGTTTGACAGCAGACCAAAGCATGGCTACGGGGTAACAATATGGAGCTAAGTTGACACTCAAATCCTACCTGTCAGTCTCTGCCCAGAGGAAGCCACTGGTCACGTTCAAGCCTCTTGTGGCCCTTGGTGCTCAGGGTGCCCTGGACTCTGGCAGTCCTTCATCCTAGGAGGGAGGTGGGGGCTGCAGTCTCCTGCTGACATTGGTCTCTGGCTTTCAGGCTACATCTGTGAGAGGAAGGACCTGCTGGCCAATGGCTGCTGTGATGTCAGCGTCCCCAGCACGAAGCAGTACTGCTGTGATGGGTGCCTGGCCAATGGCTGCTGTGGTGCTTACGAGCACTGTGTTTCCTGCTGCCTGCAGCCCAGCAAGGTATGGGCTCCTGCTCCCCACTGCCTCGGTTTCCAGCCTTTAAGGGAGGAGTTCTGGTACCTCCTGGGACACTCTTAGGAACTTTGTAGGTGCAAGAAATCACATCTGTGCAGTGGTCTCTATTGAGAAAGGACCAGCGTGTTGCTAACTGGAGTCTGGTGAATTTGAGACCTGCTCCCTCTTGCCATCCCCTGTACCATAGTCTTGGGAAGGAGAGATTCCCAAGTCTGCCTTGGGCTGACTTGGTCTGCAGTTACTAACTACCAGTGCTGTACAACTTCTGTTTCCATAGCAACTTCTCCTGGAGCGCTTCCTCAACCGGGCAGCAGCAGCCTTCCAGAACCTCTTCATGGCAGTTGAAGACCACTTTGAATTGTGCTTGGCTAAGTGCAGGACCTCATCCCAGGTCTGAAGTGGGGTGGCCCTAGCTGGGGGCAGCACTCGAGAGTCCAAGCTGAACACTGGCAGATCACTCTGGACAGAGGGAGAATGGAAAGGGGGCTTCAGTGACACAGTGACACACCCCTCTTTATTTGGGGGTGATATGTAGACTGGTGGCCTGAGGCTTATCCAAGACAGGGAAAGTGAGGCACAGTCACCTTGTTGAGTTCCTGCCTACAAGGCAGGTTTACAAGTGGCAAGTATCAAATTCTTCAGTCTGGGTGGGGTAATGAGAGCCCAGCTCCCAAGAGACTGAAATTTGATTAAGGTTTTCTATCAGCCACTGCTGAGAGGAAGTGACTTGTCCTGAGAAGGACTTGTCTTTTGCTTTAGGATTAAGGGTATAAGGAGCTAGGCATTTAAAAGCACTGGGGTAAATCTGAGGCTTGTCAGGCTTAGTGAATTCACATTGCTTGCCACTGAGTGTCTCCCTTCTGTTTGCTCCCCACTTGTGTTGTTTTTAACACGTACTTGGGGTCGGGGGAACACACGTGCCATTGCATGTGTGTGGAGGTCAGAAGACAACTTGTAGGAATCAGTTCTCTCCTTCCATCATGTGGGCCCTGGGGATCAAACTCAGGTCATCAGGCTTGGTGTGACAAGTGCCTTTACCTGCTGAGCGGTCTCACTGGCCCACACCCCCAGCTTCTGTGGCTGGGCGCTTGCTCTTTCTAAGATTGCTGCACACGTTTATTATACAAGCATGCTCCTTCTGGCTGCTGCCCCTGGAGCCACAGAGATTTTCCTGGCTTCATCTGAGATAACCGACTCATGTCAGTGTCCGGCACTCTATAAGCTTTACCGGATTTGTGCAGTTGTTTCTTGATGCCCTTTTATAGCTCTGGTTTGCTCTGAGAGCGTCAAGCGTCCTTTGGGGAATGGGTAAGGGGTAGAGAGCATTTGAGAGCTCACATTCTTGCCAGTCTTGCTTCTCAGGGTGCGCTTCCTAATTGAATGGACGTAAAGGGAAATAGGAGGGGAGGCTCAGCCATGACTCAACTTTGATTCACTCTCTCTTTTTGGCAAATGCTGGCAGGGTAACTGATAAAATAGCCTCCTGTAACTGATAAAACCCTGAAGTTGTTTCTAATCCTAAGAGAAGCTATTTATTTCTAATCCCAGAGAAGTTATCGGGCTCCTTGAGAGAAGCTGCCATCCTCCTCCTGCTGCCTTTTTATTGTAGATTGCCACTCAATGTGCTTGGCCACCAGTAGCCCAGGGAGGAGAGGTTCTGTTAAGTGGGATTAATGCTGCACTGCGGTTGCTTAGCTTTGGTCCGAGGCTAATTAATGGGCTCTAGACCAACCCCAAACTCAAGTTGCTTGTATGAAAACAAATTGCTGGAAAACTCCCCAACAGGGAAGATTGCCAGGTTTCAACCCCACGTGTGTGTGTGCACAGCCGAAGAGGCGCCTGTGGTCATGGGAGGCTTCGCTCATGCATAGGCCCTTAGCATGTAAACTTCATGACTGTAATTCGAAGAGGCATCTCCTTAGTCCCTCTGCAGGCTCCTCACCATGGACTGGATCTCTCTGCCCACGTGATTGGGTATAAATACCCATTGCATTTTAATCTGTTGCAGATTTTTTGGTTTTATTTGTTGGTTTATATTTATTATTTGTATTTATTTATGTGGATGTGGGCATACAACGCATGTGAGTGGAGGGCTGAGGACAACTTGTAGGGATCACTTTTCTCTCTCCACCATGTGGGTCCTAGGGATCAAACTTGGGTTGTCGGGCTTGGTGGCCAGTGCCCTTACCCACCCAGCCATCTTATGGGCACTTGTTTTGTGATTTGAGGCTGGGTCTCATGTTGCCAAGCTGGACTCAAACTCACTAAGTTGCTGAGGATGACCTCAAATTCCTGATCTTTCTGTCTCCAAGTCCTGGGATTACAGGTGCCCCCCCCCCCAGTTCTGTGAGGTGCTGGGGATCAAACCCACAGCTTGGTGACTGTTAGGCAAGCATTCCACCAATTGAGTTACATCTCCAGCCTGTTTGGCAGTTTGAGAACAAGTCGGCTCAGCTGCCCAGCTCATGGTCAGTTTGTTAAAAGGCTCCCTGGTGGACAGAAGTGGTGACAGGGTAGTGCCTGGGCCGTTTTCATTCTCAGTAGCATTCAGTGCTGAGCATCCTTCTTTTTCAGAAAGTTCCTTTCAGCCCTTAGGCATGCTGGGAGGCATACAGGGAGTGTCTGTAGCTCTGCCCTCTGTCACACACTTCTGTCTTTCCTCACCAACAGAGTGTACAGCATGAAAATACCTACCGAGACCCCATAGCCAAGTTCTGCTATGGAGAAAGTCCACCCGAGCTCTTCCCTGCGTGACAGCTCACTGGAGAACTGGCACCCACAGCCAGTCTGGTCTGTGTGAGATGATGAAGGAGACGGCCAGCCACACATGGACTTCTTGGCTTTGACCACTTCCTGTGGCACCTGCTGTCTTCCAGTTCCCTCACTGCTGGCTGGAGAAGATGGGCAGAGCTGTTGTGTACTGAAACCTGGAGCCTCCAGCCACACATAGTCAGGAAAGAATGTGGGCTGGACAAGGCCCACAAGGGCTCTGGACTGCTGATTAGGGGCCAGTGTTCACTTCTGTTTTGACCCGACCCCATACAGTTATTTATTGGAGTTTTTTTGGAACTGTGGGAAGGGGCAGTATTTTCTGTAAGAGTCTTCACCTTTCTGATTGAATATATTCCATGTTATTGATGTGCTTGTGGTCTCGAATGTCGCACGTTAAATCTTCTGTCACACAGATGAAAGTTGTCTCCGGGGGAGTGGGTACTCTCTCTGGGTACTTGCTCTGGGTGTTGTTCTAACATCTGGAGTCTGAAGAGCAGCTCTTAACCACAGCTTCATATCCATATCCCGACATCTAAGGTACCTATAGCCTCACACGTGTGGCTCCTGCTGGCCTGGTGGACTTGCCAGCGGCAGGCTTGGTGTCACTCTGTGCCTGGGGTGCTCATATGCCTGCAGCCATGGCTCTGCTTCAGCCTAAATCCCCGGTGGCTGTCCCAGTGGAGTTCACGCTCACCATGCTCCTGTTGAAACGGGAACTCTGCCCTTGTCCCTCTCAGAAGCAGGTGGCAACAGATGCATGTGGCTCGGCCTGAAACACGTGGCTCTTCCTTACCACTGTCATCTGTGCGACAGGCAGATGTTTCCTTGTAGTTTGTAAGAAAAGAAAGCCCAACTTCCTACGCCAGGGCTAAAAAGTTTTACGTGCACCCTCAGTGGGAGATGCATGCGAGGTCTGGGGCCTAGAGAGTGTTGGGTGCCCTCATGTGAGGGGTGGGCTGTTTGCAGCTGTAGTATACTGAGACTGCCTTAAAGCCTGCGATCAGGATAGTGCCTTTGGCTCCACTGCCTTTTGATTTCTGGATGCCTACTAAGACACACCTTCTCAGACCTGCTCTGGCCCTTGCTGTGAATGATGGTCCCCTTTCTGCAGTCTGGTAGAGCCTTTCTTCCCAGCTCCTCCCCTTCGGGGTAGACCTGCCTTGAGTTCCCTCCTGTTCCCTCCACCCACTTCCAGCTCCCTCTGAAGTATTCTGTCACCTCTGAAGAAGGCAGTTGGATGTTTAATCTTGTTTTGTGGTGCTGGGTATCAAACTCACTGCCACTGAGCCACACTTCAGCTAGAGAGTTCTTTTTTATGTCAAATCCCCATTAATCTGACCTGTTAATTCTGGATTTTTCAGAGTGTGTGTTCAGAGTGTTGACTCAAACTTCCAGAAAGAATTGGACTCATTCTGGCATAATTACCCTTCCTGGTAACTAGGGGATTTGTTGTGTTTTATTTATTTATTTTTTTTGTTTTAAGATGTGGTCACTATGTAGACCTGGATGGCCTTGAACTCTCAGAGATCTTCTTGCCTCCCAAGTGCTGGGATTAAATGTGTGCACCACCACACCCAGCTGTATTTTGTTAAGTTTTGAGACAGGGTCTCAAAACTGTAGCCCAGGCTGGCCCCTCAACTTGTTATGTAGTTGAGATTGGCCTTAAACTCCTTCATCTCCCAAGTGTTGGGATCACAGGTGTGCAGCCCCTGCCTGGATCCCTGGTGTTTGAGTGTCAGTCTACTCTTGATTGGCGTGAGTGCTGGTCTCTATAAGCTCCCTTCCACCTTCAAGCGCAGTGATGCTGAATGTGAACAGCTCATATCACAGGTCAGCCTGTGTGCAAATCCTCAGCCACTCTGCACTTGAGCTGTAGGTTGTGTGTGTGATTCAGTCACTGACCTTGCAGTCAAGGATCCAGCATGCTTGTGCTTCGCCAGGTAGATGAGGGAATAGTGGGAGAGGGGTCACAAGGACTTCATCTTAGATCCTGCTCCAACATCTTCCCCACTGCCCTGCCAGCTGCAGTGCTTGAGGATGGCTTTCACTTGTCATGGCCAGGAGAGGTGACCATGCGAGGTCAGTAATCTGAAAGTCATTTTCAGTTGGCCATGGAACATGTTTTTGTTTTTCCATCAAGTAGAGGTGTGTGCACGACTTCGGAATTTCCCAGTATTTAGGACCACATAGGCGGTGATGCACCTGGGCCCACCTCCCACTCAAGGTATGTGTGCTTCGGGTTCCCTTGATGGGGTTTCTAGAAGTAGTTTTGTGTGTCAGAGTCTAGTGAAGCATGTAGGGAAAGACCCCAGAGGAGATGGGAGCATCCTTAACTCAGAGAAGAACATTTAATGTTACTGTGTTGGGGGAGGTGTGGCCTATGGCCACAGCCATGGGGAGCCTCTGGGACTGAAAGGTGAGCCCCAGGGCTGTAATGGAAACAGAATGATAGGAACCCTTCAAATGTTCCCCGGAGGCTGATTCTGGGCTTCTTAGGAATTAGAAGGCCTCAGCAGGCGCTGGTCCTCAGGGAAGTGGGGGGCATTGGCACCATTGGGATTCTGGTCCAACTTTTCCCATCCTAGGGATCTGCAGGTAAACTGTAAACTGACCTCTTCCTCACCGAGAAAGTGCTATAACATGGAATTACTGCATCTCTTTGAGGCTTGGGCCATTTATCTGTAAAATAGGGTCATCTGGTTGCCTGCCTGACTGCCCTGGGGTGTCTGTGAGCCCCGGTCTACTGCTTGGCAAGAAGCCAGCATCAGCTTGTAGGGAACAGCTCTTGGGGAGCAATGTGAGGTAGTAGGCAGGGATAAGGGGACACTGGCGCCTGGGATGGGAAGGTGCTAATTTGGGGCCTTTTGGTAGTATTTTTCTAATTCTTTGTAAGAACTTATGCCAAGATTAAAAAAAAATTCCGATAATTCATAACTACCTAATGATAAAATAACCTAAAATCACACAACTTAGAGATAAACACCAGCTATTTTCTGTCTGTGAGTTTCCAGGCAAAAAGGAGGTCATTTTTTCCTCTTGCAGGCAATCCTGTGTGTGTCCTGTCTACAGACCTGTGTGGGATCTTAAGTGGCCAGACAACTACAGTGTCAGCTATTGGCAATTGAAGGAGTCTAGTTCCTTTTCAAGGGAGGTGGTTTGCTATTACGGATCACGCATTGATGTCTGCTTTTTTTTTTTTGGTCTTTTTGAGACAGGGTCTCCCTGTAGCCCCAGCTGTCCTGGAACTCACTATGTAGACCAGGCTGGCCTTGAACTCACAGAGATCTGCCTGCCTCTGCTCCTGTGTGCTGGGATTAAAGGAGTGCACCACCACGCCTGACTGTTGATGTTTGCTTTTACACACTTTTTTTTTACACACTTTTTTTGTCTCAACTATTGCAACATACCTTGTGTGTATGGGAGGGGCTGTTGTCATGCCTCCCAGTAGCTGTGTGTCAATCATATTAAAAACTGTTTGCTAAAGGATTTTAGTATCCTGATTTGTATTTATCTTACTATTTTTATTTTTTTATTTTTTGTCTTTTTGAGACATCTCCTCGTAGCCCCAGCTGTCCTGGAACTCACTATGTAGACCAGGCTGGCCTTGAACTCACAAAGATCCTCCTGCCTCTGCCTCCCAAGTGCTGGGATTAAAGGCGTGCGCCACCATGCCCAGCATTATCTTACTATTTTTAACATAATAACCCTTATGTGTATCAATGTATACTGCACAGTGATTTCTAGGTTGCCAAAAAGGATTTATATATTAACTTATAAAATTTACATTTATTGATTAGGGTGGGGAGAGGCATGTGCCATGGCTCACATGTGAAGGTAAGAAGACAGCTTTTGTCAGTTGGCTCCATCCTTCCACCATGTGGGTTCTGGGGATGGAACTCAGATTGCTAGACTTAGCAGCAAGCATCTTTACCTGCTGCACCATCTTGCCAACCCTATCATAAGTCTTTGTAGTTAAATGCTAATACCCAAATGTGCTATCAGTTTGTATTAACTCAGTCAAATGAATTCCATTCCACACTCTGACCATTTATTCACCTATGATGTCACCTCTAAGGAACTTGTTCAGTTCTTTAATCTTTTATTCCTCTCAGTGACCACTGGATTTTTTTTTTTTTTTTTTAGACATGGTCTCACTGTATAGCCTCAACTGGCTTGGAACTCAGGGATCCACCTGCGTCTGCCTGCTCAGTGCTGGAATTAAAGGTGTGTGCTACCACTCCTGACACTTTTAAATGATTGAAGCCTTAATTCTCTATCCACCTCTCTCCCTATCTCCTTTCCTCTCTCTCCTGTCTTTTGAGATAGTGTCTCAGTGTATATGCCAGGCTTACTCTCCATCCCCCAGTCGTAGTCTCCTGAGTGCTGGGATTTTAGCACACAGCTAAGTCCCTTCTCTTCCTTTTCAGTTTTGTGACACTCAGAAGCAAGTAGCTCACAAATTCACAAACTATTTTTCTGATAGATTTAGGGCAATGGGTTTTCAACAGGCGCACACCCCTCCTCCCAACCCCAGGGGACATTTGGGAATGTCTGGGGATATTTGTGTTATAGCCAGAGTGGGGGAAGTACCATTAGCCCCTGGTGGGTGGTGGTCAGGGGTGCTGCCCACCATCCTGTGCCGAGGATGGTATACGATGTAGGTTGGCAGTGTCGCGGTGACTGAGACTGGCACCAGGTCACAGCTGCACCCGAGGCTGAAGAGAGAACTCCCAGCAAGCTGACTTCATTATGTCCCCACCCCTGAGTTCTGCAGTGCTGAAGTGCTGATTAAATTACGCTGTGATCCCCACAGGACTCCCATGTAGCAGGCATCATCCTTCCTCGAGGCACGGTGTTGTTCCCCTGCCACTCTAAGTCCTTCCCGAGCTCACCATTCACCAGTGCAGACACTGCAGAATGATCTGGGAGCTTATGAACCCCAACATGACAGGAGCTCAGTGGGGTGACTTTGAGGGTGGGGGTGGGACTGTCTGCAGATTCTCAGGAATTCAGGAAAACTAGGCATTCTGTATAAAAAGGTATTGTGTGTGTATATGAAAGAGTGAAAGTGAGTTGAAAAGCCAAAGGGTTTTCTTCCCCAGTATAGCGTGCCTCTGACTGACCAGTGCATTACCTTCCACATAAGGGGCTTTCTGGGCTGATTTATTATTTATTTATTTATTTATTTATTTATTTATTTATTTATTTATATGTATTTATAGACAGGGTCTCACTGTGTAGCCCTGGCTGACCTGGAATTCCCTGTGTATATCAGACTGGTCTTGAACTCACAGAGATCTGCCTGCCTCTACCTCCCATGTGTTGGGATCAAAGGCATTCACCACCTTAACTACTTCCTGGGCATT